GCAGCACCAAGGAAACTTGAGACCCAAGGCCAGGCTGCTGTCTATTAGACAGTCCGTCAAAGGGACCCACCAAAGCGAAGTATGCGAGGCCACGTGTCTTGCAGGCGCGCATTGCAGAAAATCACGGCCGCCAGGCCAATTAACCCAACCCTGGGATGAAGCACGAGGTCTCAGAATGTCTCAGACCTCCGTCGGCTTCTCAGCGGACGTGGCCGCAGAGCCGGTCAGGAGCGTTGGGCCCTCCTCGGGCTTGAAGCGCTGGGAGTGCTCGCCGAAGCTGTTGGGCTTTCCCGAGTTCTCGTTCTTGCCGTAGGCAACCTGCTGCAGGTGTCCACTGCATCCTACATAGCCTGACAACTGCCCTCACCGCCCTAACCCTAATTAGCCCAAAGGGGGCCTCGGAGTGGCAATGCAGGTCCACACCTTCCAGGCAACAACGGGCATAACATGGCAAGACGCGCATGACATGCTATGAGAATGCTTTTGGAACCAATTGAGGAAATGAATGAGAATATATGAGAATCCTTCCACGCCCTTTCCAGTCTTAAGGTGCCCGCTGCCCGCTGATGGCCCGCCTTCAAGCTCCTGCTCCTCGCTGACCCTCATGCGCATGACCAGACGCATGATGAAGAAGATCACTCCGGTGACGGCTGCGGAGTAGACCACTCCGAAGGCGGCACCGGCCACGTTCTTGGCCAGCAGCAGGCCGTCGCCGGCGTAGATGAGCCCATCCTCAAGGTCAAAGAAACCACCAAGGATGGCACCAGCAAAGCCACCGACTCCGTGGAGGCTGAAGCAGTCGAGGCTGTCATCCACGAGGTTCAGCTTCTTCAGCCCGCGGGCTGCNNAAGCGCCCAAGGGCTCCACGAAGCCGGCACAAGGGGTGATGTTCACCTCAGCTTGCCAAGCAAGACTTCCCATTCGAATGGCTTCTGCTCTTTAGCAGTGCCTCTTACAGATCTGGATGCTGGACGAGTTGCAAGTCCGGCGACTGCACCGGACATGGCGCCGATGGAGGTTGGGGCTCCGTCCAGGATGCGCTCCACGGTGATCCACATGACCTCGGTGCTGGGACAGGAAAGAGGTCCTGATGTCAAAGGATTGCATGATACTATGTCTAACTACAAAGCACATCCTAATGATAGCCCAACAGCCATCGCCGCAGCGGCTGCAACGTAGGTTGTTGCGATGGCCAGCGCACAGTCGCCATTCGCAGCGAACGCGGATCCGCCGTTGAAGCCAGTCCACCCAAGCCACAGGATGCCTCCTCCCAGGATGACAAAGGGCAGGTTTGAGGGGAAGGACTCAGCACGGTGCTTGCGCTCACCCAGCAAGGATGCCAGCGCAATTGCGGAGGTGCCGGAGCTGATATGGACGACGGTGCCACCCGCAAAGTCCTCACCACTTCATAATACGACTGTATATAAGTTGATCAAGCTACCAAACGTGGACACCACGACAAAGTAGTCTCTGTACCGCAGTTCTGTAAACATCTGTGAACTACGCCACTAGTCCCCTAGTACAACATGTCTGTGCCGGGCCCTTAGCTTCAAATGATGTCCTTGGCGCCCATCTCGGCGATCCAGCCGCCGCCCCAGATCCAGTGGCACAGCGGGACGTAGACGGCCAATACCCAGACAACGATGAAAATGGCATAGGCAGAGAAGCGGATGCGCTCCACCACTGCTCCGGAAATGATTGCTGCCGCGATGATGGCGAACGTCATCTGAATAGAATTTCAATGACGGGCCGCCT